TCCCAGCCCTGCTCCCCGCCGGGGGCTCCGGGGCAGCAGCCGTGCCGGGTGGGAGCCCGGGGCATCCCTTTACCGCCCAGGGATCCGCTACACGTGGCGCTGGCTGTGGGTGTCCGACTGACTTCGCTCGCTGGAGTTGTCCCGAAAGGCTCCGAATCACATAATCGTTCAGGTTGGAAAAGACCTTCCTGAGCCCAGGTTTTCCACGGGCACTGTGAATGCGACTCATGGCTCTGAAGAGGTTACAGGTGTTTGTTCGTGTTGTGTAGTCACGAGAGGAGAGCCATAACCCTCGGCTGAGTTCCCAGCTCCTGCTCGTTGGCTGACCTTGGGCAAATTACTTTTTCTCTGCGTGCTCAAACTGCACATCTGCTGATTTCGTACAGTAACTGAGTGCTCTTAGGGATCTGAAAAACTATAGGACTAGAGATGCAAAGTGCAGCTTGAAAACGCTGTTGACCTTGTCTTGCAGTATGCTTCGCTGAAGGCCAAAGTCAAGGTCTCCATTTTCTTGCAGTAGCTTATCTGGGATGCAGCGCTTCTGATGTGCATTTTGCAGAAACGCAGTGGATTGACAAAGCGCTGACATCTGTAGCGGGTCTCTACAAAGTCCGTTAGCAATGGAGCATCCCGCCAGGTTATGCATTTCCCCTTAGCACCGCTCTGCAAGGTAGGACGTTGCTATTGCCCCCACTTAGACGGGAAACTGAGGACCAGAGCGCTCCAGCAGCTACCCCCCAAGGTTGCACGAGAAACCTGCAGCAGAGCAGGAAACCCATCCCAGGTCTCCTCGGTCCCAAGCCAGCAGCTTAACCACCGGACCTTCCTGCCCTCTGGTTGTGCTTTTCTTCGTGTTGTGCAAGAGAATTGTTCGCTCTGAACGTGTGAGGTGTGTGCTGAATGAGACTTCTGAACTAGGGAGCTTGCAGTTTGATTCCGTTGTCCTGGGGACATACTGAAGGGATGGAGGCTTCCTGAGCTGCTCTGCAAGGAGACCTCGTTGGAAAATCAGGTTTTAAGACTTTCAGGAAGAGGTAAGCTGAAGTGTTTGGTAGCCAGAGGGGGAAGGCTTTTCTAGCCTCTGAAGCTTGTAGGAAGAGAAGACTCGTCTCGTCAAAGCAGAGATCAGAAAGAGATCATAGAACTGGTGTGGAGGAAGGAGTGGAATCGGGTGCTTCCCTGAAGGTGATGGTTCAGAGCACAAATTTGTGTTGTGATGAAAACTTGGAAGCCTGAAGGTTGAGATTGGCCCAAACACCTTTCGTACCTCACACGCGAGCAGCGATGGTCTCTGCTCATCATGACACGTTGGTGCGGACAGCACTGCAAATGACCCCAAGCAACATGGCATCTTGCACGGAGTGGATTTTGAACAACACGGGGATTATTTCTTCTGAAGGGGAAGAGCCTTTGCATGACATCCAGACTGCTGCTCAAAAATTCCCTTTCCCAGCTCTCGGGACCCTGAGGAAGTGCTGATAGCAAGGACTGGCTCAGCTGGTTTGCAGCTTTGCAGAAATCTCATGGACTCTCTCGCTCACTCTGGAGAAGGTTCATCAGGGACTTTGGCACAGGTTTTCCTTCTCTTGGAAACTCACTTTCTGCGTTAAATGTAAGAAGTACCTCCTGCCTTGGGTGGTTTGGGTGCTGCAGGAGCAGGACGCGGTCTCCAAGGGGCAGGGACGGTGTGCGGAGGCTCGGTGGGTGCTCAGGCTTGCTGCCCTCACAACCTGCGAGCCACAGCTCGGGGTCTGATGGGTTGACTCATGGGAGACCAGTCACAGGCTGGAGACCGCACAGGGCCTAACCTGGAGATACATCATGATCTTTCTCACCTGTTTTGAAACGCGGTGTTTGTGTCCTCAAGGGCCCTGTGAGCTGACCCCAGACAGTCTGTCTGCGATGCTTTCTGGAGGTGTGACTGAGCTGGGGCAGACCTGCCTGAACTGGCTTTCAACTCGCTTGTTCGGGCGCCGATAGCCAGCGTAACCGCAGCGGCGTGGTTGCTGGTGAATGCTCACCGGAGCCCCAAGCAGTTTGGCAGCAGGCACTCTCATAGCTGTCTTGTTATCTGCTCCCAAGCTGGTTAGCTTTAATCCAGCCGTGATGGGTCTGTGTCGGGTTGTGGTTGCACCGACGTTTGCAGTGTGGAGAAACCAGCACCCTCTCTTGGATCTCAGTTACCTCCTAGTTGTAAGCCACAAGTCATCCTTTCTGCCCTCTAGCAGCACATACCTGCCCTCTGGCATCGGTGGAAGAGGGATGAAGTGTTTCAGTGTGTGTTTTTACCTTAATAAACTCCCCGGAGAAGCTTGCTTCGGGGAGGGGGGGGGGGGAATCTCGCTCTTTGCAGCCTGTTGGCGTCCTGCATAGGGAAATGGTTAGCATATGTTTTTTGAGCAACAGACTCTTCAAAAACAAAGGCCACTGACGAGTTTTGATGTTTTCTTTAAACGCACAGTCCATTTTATTCAAAGGCTGAGTTTTTCTTGTTTTTTCCTCAATTTGGAAATAACCTTGGTGGTGTTCCCTTGCAGATGAACAAAGACTTCTCCAGCCTCAGGAGCCCCAGCTGAGCTCTTACAGAGGCTTCTGATCCAGCCGAGCCAAGAGCTTTGTGTGGGCAGAGGACGTGAGTCAACAAATGGTCTCTGTGAGCTGCCAGGAGCTGCTGCCCTCCTTGACCAGCTCTTCCCTGCTCAAGAGCTTTGCCAGTGCTCTGCAACACACCATGCCACCATCCCTTCTGCCAGGGCATGGCAGCGAGAGGGTGTCTGGCCAGCCGGAAGGCTCTGGCCATCTCCTTGCAGGTAGCACCAGCCACTCTGACGGCACCCCGCTCCCCCTGCCCGGTGCAAAGGGGGAAGACACAAAACCCCAAGTCACTGCCTGCGAGGCTCACCTCAGGCTGCCTGACTTCTGCAGCAGCCTCTCCCAGGACTTCATTCCCACCCTGGAGGAGATTGAGGAGTTCCTACAGGAGAAGGCTGAGTACCTCAAAAATGAAGCACATGAGCTTCACCCAGCTGGAGGGAAGGTTGAGATCAAATCTGAGATCAGCTTAGGTAGCTCTGGGGGACAGCCTGTCTCCAGTGTGGTTCAAGAAGATGTCTCAAGCGTTCAGCCTGGAGGGACAGCTGATAGTAGTGACCAGGCAGTGGCCACTGGAAGCATTCCTGTTGTCCTCCAAATCCAGCCTCTCCAGATGGACAGTGGCAGCCCGCTAGCACAGAGTGCTACAGGCGGTGTCAGGGTGGCCCAGCTGGTTATCAGCTTGCAGGGCCAAAACCTGTCCCTTCTCCCTCAGGTCCAGCCCCCTGTGACCATCACGGACCAAAAGTACATCAAAATTGCCCCCCTGCCGGTTGTCATGAGGCCAGGGGCACCGGGGGATGTGCAAGAGGTAGAGGCAACCCCCAAGTATCAGAACCCCCCCCTTCCCTCGTCCGCATCCATAAGTGCTCGCACCCGGGCTGCGGCAAGATGTACACCAAGACCTCCCACCTCAAGGCTCACTTTCGTCGGCACACCGGTGAGAAACCCTACACTTGTGCTTGGCCCAACTGTGGCTGGCGGTAAGTGGGGGCCGCGGGGCTCTGTGCGAATGGCAGTCCCCGCCAAAGGCCTGCCGTTGCTTGCCAAGATGCAGGAGAGCTCTTGGCTAGTGGAAATCCAGGATAAAATCACAAGTTTTCTTTCTGGAGTGAATTCTAGGTGAGGGCTGGAAGGAGGCCTGGAAGACTAAAGTTTATTGAGCGCTTTGGGTAGTTTTCATCCAGTCCAGACAAAAGCTGTACCTGTGCCTCAGCAGGACAGCCTACCAAAAACCCTACTTATAGAAAGGATTTAAAAACTTGAACCCCCCCCCACCCCCAATCTCCATAGAAGCTATAAAAGCGCTTTCAAAAGGTGCCCCTTCCCCCTTCTTCTCCCATCCTGATTTGGGGCAGATTGCCCCAAATGGGAACTTTCCCCTGTGGGGCCACACACGCAGAGCAGGAGCTGCTGCCACAACACAAAAATACCCCCAAACCCCTGATTCTTGGTCTGCAATGAGGTCCCTCCAGGTTTCGGGGAAAGAAAAAAAAATAAAAATTGGCACTTCCAGGAAAGCCAAACCCGCCTGGATTTGTGCTGCTGGAAAGTTAAAAAAAAAAAATGCCGAAAACAAAAAATCACCGATTCTTACGTTGTGGAAGAGCACCAAAGAAACCCAGAATTAAGTATTTTGGAAAAGCAAAAAGACCCAATTTTTGTATTCTGGAAAAACCAACCAAAACAATCCCCCCAAACCCCCACCAATTTGGGGTGGAAATGCTGGCAGTTGGAGGGGCATCGCTGGGAGTTCCCTGCTGTGGGTCGGTCATCCGGAGTGGATTCTCTGTTGCGGGGTATCCCAGGTGAGTTATCTGCTGGGGGTGTCCTATCCCCCAGCGCAGGTCATCCCAACGCACGTGTCCCGTCCCCGTCCCCCCCTTCTGCCCACACACAGACCCCGTCCATCCATCCGTGTCCGTCTGCCTTCCCTTGTCCCATCTGTGCATATCGCTGCCTTCCCTTTTCCCGTCTGTGCGTCTCTGCCTTCCCAAATGCTTTCCACAGAAATCTCCGTACCCCACGCCCACCCTCCCAAAAGCCCCACACACCCTGGGGCTCAGGGCTTTCTTCTCTATTCCAGGGCCCGACATTTGCGCTCACTCGCGCCAGAGCCCGAGAACCTGCCCAGGCTCCAAAATTGCGAACATACACGGATTTCTCCCACACCAGCTGGGGAAGCGTAGCTGACACTCTCCCAAACCCCCCAAATTCCCCTTGAACTGGCTGCCTAAGCCCCCTCTGGCAATACCGCTTTTCCAAGGGGTGTTGTGATTTTGCAAGCTTTCTCTGTCTAACTCGGGGCAATTTCTGCAGCTGGGCTACAGGAATGGCTTTCCCCGTTAATATTTGTCCCAGGAAACAGGAGTCTCGCCGCTTCTTCCTCAGCAGCCAGTGCCCGGTTCTGGGTTTGTTCAGCAGCCCTTTGCGCTCTCTTGCTGTTTGCCTGCCCTGGCTGCTCGTATCCCTCAGACGCCTGTGGGCCTGTAGCATAGCTCCGTGTTGCATTGACTTTTGTTTGCTCTGCACATGATGGTTGTCGTTCCCTTTCCTCTGCGTTCCCTAAATTAACCCCGCTTTTTAATCTTGCTGCACTTCTCTGATTATTTTTCTGCTGTGGTGTTCACTTCCCAGTACCACAAACCTGTCCCCGGGGCGCAGGATGCTCAGTACAGCCTTTGGCAAGAAGGGCTAATAGTCCTCAGGTCTTGCGTGGCACTTCTCGGCAGCAGATCTCAATGCACATCACAAAGAAAACTGGTGCTGGCAGCACCGAGCTCTCCTGGTTTCTTATGCAATGCCTTGGCATGCACGCGCTGCCTTGTTTGCCCAAATGGTGTGGTACGGCTTCTCTCTCGGGGTGGTGAGCCTCTGGAAGGTAGGGGATTAGATCTGAATTTTGGGACTCCCTCTTGCCAAGCCGCTGTCCCTTTGCTATCAGCAAGTGCCCCTCCATTTCACCTATATATAAACGCCTACGTGTTTATGGGCACTGACTCCTTTTCCAGTACCAACCAGTACGGCTAAACCCTCCTGCACCCGACACTCAGAGCCTGGGGGCTGAGGAAGGGGACGATGGCAACCACACAAATGCCACTTTTCCCTCTGGGAAGGAGGACAGGGATGGTGCTAGCCTGTACGATAGCATCCTGCAGGCTGTCCCTGTGCTCTGCTTCGCTTGCTGCCCTCCCTCTCCGCGGGAGCAGTTATGCCCCCGCGTGATGCACTCGGCCGTGGCGGGGGTTCTCCGGGCCGTGCTGCCTTTTCTAGATGTGGCCCTAACTGTAAATATATATGTCATTTTTCCTGGCCCTGCTTCCTACGGGGAGCTGAGACCTTGGAACTCGCTTCTCGCCAATAAAGCTGGAAAAGAAGTCAGCGGTTTGCACGGAAGACCTGAGGATGGCCTTGGGACGTGTTTTGTTTTCGCAGGGTCTTTTGTGAGCAGCCGCAGTATTTAACCGTACCAGGTGTGAGCTTGAAATCCTATCGCTGGGAGTCTGGGGTTACATCTGAAGCTCCTTGCTTTGTGCTTCCTTGCGTGGGCATGTTTCAGCCAGATGGAAAAACCCTTCTGTCCTAATACTCCTGCCATCTGCGTTGGCTCCTTAGAGGCAGAACAGGAGTAAATCCTGTCCAGTCTTCCTCTCCAGTGCTCCCCTGACGCTCAGAGATGCAAAGCGTGCTGAAGCCACCCCAGCTCCCAGGCCTGCTGGAGACCTTTGAGGTGGCACTCGGAAACCAGCCGCGGGCCAACGTGCTGCAGGTGCCCCCAGGTCTGGATCTGTGCATGCCAGGTGGAAGAAAGGGTGCAGGAGGATTAAGTGGGGACATGCATGTGGTTAAGGGGACTTCCCAGGCTGTTCTGCTGATCTGCTCCAGGTGTGGGAATTACACAGAGGAGCAGCCTGAATACTGGGTGCATCCTCAGAACAGCAGTCAAGTGGCTTTGGCACGGACACCTCTGCTTCTGGGCTCCAGGCTGGGTGCATTTGCCTTTCCTCCCTTGATGCTCTGTATTTAAACCAGCTCACAGGCAGCTTCTCTCTCCCCAGCCCCCGGTCCAGCCCAGGCTGATGGGGAGAACTCGCTGCCATTCTGCGAAACGAGGGGATGCTCGGAGTCTGCAGGGAGAGCCCACGCTCTCTCAGGAAAAAAACCAGCCTTCTCCCAACAGCGATGCTCTTCTTAGCTGGGTGTGGGAGTTCTAGTCAAGCCTTTCCACCCAGGCTCCTGAACGGTGCCTTTAGCCACTGCCGGCTGGGGCTGGTGCCCCAAAAAGTTTCAGCACCTGGCCTTGGGGCTGCCAGCTCCCAAAAGGTTTCAGCAAGCTGAAAACAAATGGAGGAAGTAAGTGGATGGTGTCCTTTAAGAGCAGCGGAAAGAAATTAAGATCTCAGTGGGTGGCTTCTTTTCCTCTTTCTTATCTCTAAATCGCCCCTTGGAGGGGTTTCTTTCTTTCCATTCCTGCAGCAGGAGCCTGGGGTACCTGTGCCTCACCGGTAGACTGGATGGAGCGGAGAGGTGACCTGTCTAGGGTCACCCCAAGAGGCCGTGGCAGGGACAGACCTCGGCCTCCCACATGCCAGGGTCCTTGCATTCCCTGTCCTGTCTAGCAGCGAAGGCTGGACCCACCACCGTGCTTCCCTTCTCCTGCAGGTTTTCCCAGTTGGATGAGCTCTGCCGTCACAAGCGTTCCCACTCCGGGGTCAAGCTGTACCAGCCCGGACTGACCATTTAGCTAAACACGTGAAGATCCACCGGGGCCAGCCGTATGGCCAGCGGATGCTTCAGACCGGCAGCAGAAATTAAGTCTTGCTGCTTGTCCTTGCAAGGCTGAGTCCAGGAGGCCCCGAAGTCAGGCAAACAGTGTAAAACCCACTACGCTAATGAAGAGGGGGAAATGACTCTAACGAATTCTAGGTGTTACACCTCTAACTCAAGGGTGAACTATATCCACGGCCTGTTTCTGGTACTGCTGTCCCTCTCTTAAATACCAAGGTCCCCTGCCACAGCCTGTGGGCGTCACCTGCCTGCTGCAGCGCGACGGCCATGGACTGGCTTACAGCTCCCTGTCCCCGCCGCGGGGCATCCCCCGGGCTGCCGCAGCCGCACACCCGCATCCCGAGGCTCGGGGTCAGCAGCATTTTGGAGACAGCCTGAGAGGATTTGTTCTGGTTGGACTCGCTCGGAAACCCGTGTGCATGAGCCCATCTGGCTGGGTGGCCCCCAGGCAGAGCCCAGGGTGGGTGGGGGGTGTTTGTGTGCTGTGCAGCACCTGCGGGGGCTGAAGGCAGACGTCGGGGACGGCTTTTCCAATGTGGTTGAGATGGTGGTTGTGTTGTCCTTAACTCTGCTTTTCTGCCTTGGTGGTTTTTCACCTGACTGGCACTGGGTGCGCTGGCGTCCCCGGGGAGCGTGACGTTGCGGCTACGGTTTGCGGGGGGGCGGTGGGGTGGGAGATGCGTCTGTTCAGCTCGCTCGGTGGTGCGTGTTGCAAGGGGATCAGGAGAAATGTGAGCAACACCAGCAAGGTCCTTTCTCACCCGCTGGCATGAACGTACGGACCCACAGAAGAGCTGTGCATGCTCCCATGTACATACGTCCCCCATGGCCCGGGGGGAGCAGCGCAGGTCGCTGACGTCCTTTTTGTATTTGACTTCTGGTTAATTAAAGGCCAACTCCTTGCTACTGTGCCAACTTCCCGAGCTTCTGCAAACATCTGGGAGGGAATTAGGTGCTTGTCCAAACAAAGAATAAGCGTCAGAAGTTTGAGCCAGGCGGTGTGCCCTTCCTGGGCGGCTTTGCCAGCGTGTCTCAAGCTGATATTTAGCGCCTGCAGGCTCTTTTCAGCTCAGGTGTGCTCGCGCCATTCTGCTGCTGCCCCAGTGCTCTTCCAGCGTAGGACTTCACACGCTTGTCTCAAGCTGCCCTTGAGCTGGCTTTAGTGAGGTGTGTTGGGTTGTACCCAAAATAAGGACAGGGAAATGAGCTGAATGCTTTTCCCTGCCCTGCGGAGGGCATGTTTGTACAGCAAAGAGGTGGTTCTCTGGTCCCCGCAGCCCTTTTTGAGGGATGACGCTGGGGATGGATAAAGCCAGGCTGGTGGGGATGGATATGGTGCCCTGCCCTAAGGGTTGGTACAAGCGTCTCTGGATGAGACACCAAACTCCTGTGTGAGAAACACAAGCTTGTAAAGCAACCCATCCCGGTGACAGCATCGTGCGGTGGGAGATGTTTGCTGTTGGTGGCTGCTCCTTCCTCAGCGCAGTGACCGGAGCTCTTCCAGCTTTGTTGAGAAGCTACCGCAGTGTGACTTCAGGGAAAGGAGGAGCAAGGAAGCTGAAAATCCTTGATTTATTCTCAGTCTAGGATATTTGGGGATGCTTAGGCTGCCCCTGAAGGAGATGCTGCTGCAGAGATTGGAGATGGACGGGGCAGGGCACTTCCCACCACTGAGGCTCTCTGGTGCACTGGGGGTCCCCACGATGAACTCGTTTCTCCTGCTGTTTGTTGTTCCAGTGCCGCAGGGCCACAGTCCAGCCCAGGACCTGGCAGTGCAGGTCACCATACAAGCACCAAGGAGCAGGATCCGCTTCCCCCATGCCTTCGGCTCCTACAAACAGCAAAAGTTTCTGTAAAGGGGAAACTTCAGCGTGTAGAAACGATGTCGCTGCAGAGGAGAGAACCGTTCGTAAAGCTGGCTTGGGGATTGGATTCTTTATTGTAAAAACAAGCAGGCCAGCAGCTGAAGGAAGGCTCGCTGGCCAGCTTCCAGCCCCGGCGTAGCGGGGAGCCGACTCGTGGCTCACCCAGCTGCAAGGCTGCGGGGGGAGCTGCAGCTAATGGATCTGCTGTTAGGTTTCCAAAGAGCTGGCGTGCCCGGGTTGCGTGTTTCTCGGAGAACACCTGCATTGCTCGCTTTCCTAATCCCCAGGCGGGAGAGTGGGGTTTGCAACAGAAATAGCTGGAGCCACGCTGCTTGACCTCAGATCCAAGCTTTCCCCAAAGGTCTGGGAGGGCTGGTTTCTGGATCCCGGCTAAAACTCCTTCATCCTTAGCTCATAATTGGGTAGGTGTGGATAGGCTGAACAGAAAGTTGCCTGCAGCGGGGTTTCTTCCCTGTGCGTGCGAGTGGAAGTCTGTAAGCCCTGCAGCCCTCACGGTGCCTCTTTGGAGGGAGCTCTCCCCGCTGGGGAAGGACGGCAGCTTTCGCAGCCGTTAGCCGGAGACCTGCGCCCCCCTCGGGGAGCCAACGCTCTCCCGTGAGTGCTCCCACCCCTGCCCTGGCCTGGCCAAGCGGGACCAGATGCCAGCAAGAAACGCGTCCCGCGTTCGTGTGATGCTGAAGCTTTAACAATGAGCCAGAGGAGACAGGTAGGCAAGAGCCTGTTTGGGGTTGCCTTTTGTTTTAGTGGATTTTTGCCTGACGAGGAATTTACTTCATACCCTCTTTGCTCGAGGGCTCTCTTCGGAGGCCAGATGCCAACATGACTCATGCCCGTCTCGTGCTTTCATCTGTCCCCCTTTGCTCTTCTCCCTCGCTCCAGACTCTTTCACAACACTCCCTCTTCGTTTTGGACCTGCCCCATCCTGCCTCCCTCCGCTCCCAGCCGAAGGCGACTGGGGAGGTTGCACGCTTCCAAACTGTGAAGCAAGAAGAGCTGTGCCTCATCGCTAGCCCAAGACCCTTCTCTCTTCTCCAGCAGCTTATCTGCTGAGCAGCTCCCGCAGAGTCCATGCCAGTACTGGGGTGGATCTGCTGTGGAAGACGGGGCTGGGAGCGCTGGCAGCAGTGATTTGCAGCTTACCTGGTTTGTTTTGCCATTCCTTCTAAACAAAGTGCAAAGGGAGGGGAGAGATTTTTATAAAATAAAACACCCTAGATACGCATCTCTTGTGCAATGAGTATTACAGGCTCACCTGCTTCCCCCTGGGGACTTTGGATGAATGGCTTAAAAGGTTTACTGAAGGCTCTGTAATTACCTATCCTTTGCTCCAGTGAGGATATTACTCCACGGCGGAAACGTTTGTTGTGGATGTACAGATGAGGTCTGTGGCATCAGGAGGAGCAAGGACCCTTCTGTCTTCCCAGAGATGAAAAGGTGTTGGAGCTGCCAAGGGGTGACACAAACTGCCCTTGTGTCACTGAGGCTGCCGGGTTGTAACCCCGGCTCCATCTCCGATGGCCCCGTTAAGCGAACGGGGATGTGTGCCTGCCAGCTCACTGTTGCTGGAGTGGGAATGGGAGGAACCGGTTGCCTTGTGCTGGAAGTGAAAAGGCTGTCGGGTTGCTAAGCAGTGCTTTTTAAGAAACGAAATGCAAGCAGACAGGAGTTGTAGCAGGGCAGGACGTGGGAGAGCACAAAGAGAAATTCAGGCAATGGTTCTAAATCTGCAGCCGTGGCTCTGGGCGTAGCAGTACGCAGCGCAGCGTCCCCCACCTTCAGCAGCGTGAGTGGCAGCACTGACATCCCCGAGCTCAGCCCACGTGGAGCTCGTGCTGGCTGCTCATCCTCTGAGATGAGATGAGGGCCAGTGCAAATCCACGTTTTAGTTTAAGGGCCCTTTGGAAATATGTATCCCTAAGATGGATCATAGCATTAAATTTTTTTTTTTTTTTTTTTTTTTGGTCCAAAAAAAATCAGAACTGGATTTTTACTAACAATTCTCCCTTCCAGAGCCCAGTTTTATTTGGGGCAAATGCAGTCCTTGGTGTAGTTTCTCCTGGTGGTTAAGCAGCAGAAGCTGGCTTGGGGTAGGGAGCAAACTGGAGCCTGGAGTTTTCTCAGAAGAACGGGAAAGGGCCTTGGCAGGCATGGGATAGCATAGGCTGGAAAAGAGGCGACCATTTGCGGGAGCCAAGAGGGTCAGATCCTCAGCTGCCTCCCCCGCTCGCCACCAGCTGGGCCAGATCCTGGCCCTGAGTAACAAAGGTGGAGCTGGTAATGAGAAACTGGTGGGGAAAGTTAGCAGCCCTATCAGCAGGGTGTTAACCCTCGGGTGGCTCAACAGCACTTCTGGGGTGTGAAGCTGGAAGCAGAAGGGGCAGGAGCCCCTTGTTGGTTTGCATGTGCCCTGCGACATGGTTCAATGTTCTTCTGGAGCCATGGCAAAGCACAAACCACAAGGTTTCCTTGCAAAGTGGAGTATATCATGGCCTTGAGCTGCAGCTGATGCAGTAGCTCACACCTGATGCTCTGCTCGCCCCATCAGCAGTTGCCAGGGGAGCTCCTGCCCTGGGAAACAAGGGGTTAAGGGCACAGCGAAGCTTAATGAAAAAAAGAGCTAAATTAAAACAGCCGGCTGGATTGACTTGGCCTGGCCTTTTGGGATGACTTACTGCTTCATAATCAGCTTTCTAAGTAGGCACAAGTTCACTCGCAGGGAGGCTGGAGCAGGGAAGAAACGTCTCCGTGTAGGAATAACGCTGATGAGCGATTGGCTTTTGTTCCTCGCTTGCCCCGCAGGGCTCGGTGATCCCAACCCTAGGCTGGGTGCTCGTTTTTAGCATGGACTTCGGACAGGTTGTTTGCAGGGATGCACCTTTCCTAGGAGCTGCTCTCCGCTGCCCGTGCAGGTAAAGCACTTTGCTTTCTGGTGGTTTGTCCAAGCGACCTTGCGGGGGGACGGTTCCCAGCGGATGTGATGAATCCCTTGGCTGGAGCCCTGCAGGAGAGGCCGGGGGTGAGGGTATCTGGTCAGCCGTGCCGTTGCTTCTTGTTTGATCCAGGAACTGGGCAGTGGTACAGAAAGGGCTTATCCTTCCCCTATTTCCTGGAAAATCCACCCAGATAAAGCCTTTTTTGGCT